TGGCCTCAGGGAAAAAAAAACATAAAATGCCATGGCAGGATTTTACGCCCGAGATTTGCCTTCGAAAATTGCCCGTCGAAAAGGCGTTTTAAATCATAATAATTCCATAGCTCTTTTTAAAAGTGCAATAAATAGAAAAAAGAGTCCGGGAACTATATCGAGATTATAAAACACGTGTGTCATGAAGATGTAAACAAAAAAGCGTAGCCTGATGGTGATAAAGTTGAGCAGCAATTGGAAATGCAATACAAAACATTAATCAGTTCATGATGATAATTAATCATTCGACACAAATGCAAACATTGATTTCTGCTCTAACATTCGAATCATTTATTCGTAGATTTGTATAATTAAGTGGCGAAAGTGAAATTTTGAAATCTTAATGCACAGATACAAAAAACATACCAAATATGTTTTGATTCTTATTCTAAAAAAAAAAAACCGGCAAATTTTAAAAGATCTTTTTAAAAGGAGGGAGGCGCTATAGCCCAGTGGTAGAGCAGAGCAGCTCGTAACCGGGAGCTCCCTGGTTAGAAACCAAGTCGATATGCTATTGTAAGGCATAACTCAACATTACATTTCGTTCGGAGAGGATCTTAAACCCGCCGGTCCCCTGTTTGCCTAATTCAGAGCATACACATGCTTCATATAGCAGTCAGGAAACAAAAGCGAACGGTACAGGAAGCTACCTTTTATGGATAGGCCTAAATTGAAGGTTTGGCTTAACTAGAAAGAAGAAGGATAACATCAAACAATAGATCTACTCATGATGACGCTCTTTTCATTTCACCTCGCTGTAAGATAAAGTAGAGTTCTATGGAGCGAATACAAAAGAAAAGTTCGCTCTAAAGGTAAAAACATAGAATGCCGTGGCAGGATTTCACGCGGCCGAGCAAGACTATTGTTTGATCGCTATAATTGTCCGACTTGCTATAGATTCTTGTTTAGCTACACATTAAGGTTGCTCGCTAGTTATAAGGACCGCTATTCATTGGACAACTATTCATGAAGATCGCTATTCGTAATTTGAGAACATGGTCATTATGTATAAGGGTCATGAATTCGTAATACGACATCCCCCTCCCCAAAACTAAATAAATAAATAGAAAACATGAATAGATTAATAAACTTAACTAATGATACAATAACAAATAATGCCCGGTAATTGGGAATAGCCGCCTATGAGCGCAACAACTATTAGCTGCTCAAAGAGCTGTCTTTTGTCATTGCGTTGCAAAAATAAAGTGCTTTTAAAAGTTACATGTACTATAATATCCGTATGTTATATAACACCCAATGTGAACATGACGTGTTCAGGCCTTATAACTATATACAGTGCACGTTAAAACAAAAGACTTTACTAGCGCTAGCTAACAAATATGCAACGTCAAAACGTCACGAACATTGAAGATAACAAATTGTTAAAGGTGAAATTCAAAGAAAATCACAAATATGTCAACTAATGTATCACTAGAAACTGGTAAGCTAACAGATGGCCATCGTACAAGTTTGAGGTCAGCTACATATCGGGTGATTTATAAAAATAAAAATACAACCACCTCCATAGCAGCTGGGATATACGAGAGATTCGCCAGAAAAATAACGATGTTTTAATGACGTCACAACAGGGACCAATACTGCCCAAGCAGACGACATCCCATAGGGAATGAACATAATTGCAAAGCTATTATTTGTCAAATTATAATGAGTTTAGTGTATATAAATGTACTGGCACGTCAAACGGATCAAAAGGGGACATGACCCGATTCTGATAACTAAAATCTTTTGCTTGTAAATACACAGGATAGGGGTTAATTAACAATCAAAGAAACCAGACTTTCAAATTGAAAAGCCCCCGGATTGATATTAAGGGCGGCATTTGTTCCCTCTTAAAACGCCGAACATACCGCGGTGTCTGCAGCTGAATATACAGTGGCGTCTTATTTTGTTTACAAGCGACAGATTCCTTTATTTTTGTATCGCTGCATTTGTCATCAAAATAAAACCATGCGCGGGGTTTAGAGTGAGGCAATAGATTACACATTTAGCCTGACGGTAGTGAAGTAAGAGAAAGAACTCAAGAGAAGATGAAAACACAGGCACTGAAAATGTGTGAGATGTCATGGGACATCGTCTGCTTGTGCAAATCATGTCCCTGCTGTGATCTCACACATCTCAGCAGCCTTCGGAGAGCTATTCAGGTGCTATGCCGGGGCTGTATTTAAGCGTTTTGTAATTTATAATAATCATTACTTCGAATGTTTCCAAGCATTGAATTTTGATAACCTTGTCGAATCAAAGTTTCAACTTTGCAATAAAGAAAATAAAGCTAGATTTAAAATCAATGAATATCTACTTTAAGACAAATGACACCACCAATAAAGTTTCTTCGCGAAGAAATATTCGATCGAATTTCATGTTTGGAACAGATAGGCGATTTCGAATTGTTCCATCTACCGAAACGTTTTGATGATGCAGGCTCCCGACAATACGACTATCATTTTTGTAATATCTTTAATTTGCAGATGTTTGTTTGTTTTGTATGACATATTTATAAACGCCCTATAATCTTATTTCAAGCAGAATCTTTCAATCTCTTTGATTATAAGTATCATTTTTTAAATCACGGGTATTTAAATACAATAGCTGATTTTGCGAAGATTTAGAGAACCTACGTTTCTATTCTTTAAATCGATCTTGCATGAGAAAGAACAGAGTGATGATATAGATATATGACCTATTTTGATCGGATGACAGAACAAAATAAATGTAATATGAACCAAATAATGTGTCAAAACATACAGAAGGAATACAATTATACATATCGTTTTTGTTTTGTTCGTGAAGAAATTAATATAATACAAGTATTGAACACATTAATGAACAGAAATGAACAATCATAACAACGTCAACGCCTACACAACTTCGATGTTTGGGAGGAATATAACAATCAGAACAACAATCTAAATCAATGTCTTGTACGTAAAATAATAATAAAACATATCAGTAGCCAACGTGAAAATTTTAGAGTCAAATCTTTCAAGACGAGAGCGGACACACACGCGAGGATTACATGAATAACTAATGCGTAGGAATGGGCGCGAAAGCTTTTCAAATTCACAAATTCACAATTCACAAAAAGCGCTTCGCCTTTAAGCGCACCCCCCCCCCCCCCCACCCCCGAATGAGTGTTATGTAGGGTACGCATATGCATTTTCCCTCCTTTTGAAAACAGTCCCCTAAGTCCGGTGTGTAAAGTCAATACGGGCCGGATTTGTGTGTACTAGACGAGCCGGACTTTGGTGCGTGAAAAGTACCCCTTTACCAGACAGTAACAATGAGTCTCCAAACAATAGCCAGATTTGATATTCATATTGTGAGCATGTGCTTAGTTATATCGGGATTCCCTGGTTATATTGAAGACGTGGGCTAATATCTGTTTGCCCAGTATTTCTCGCTGATTGTTTGACCAACATTAAATTGCTATTGTCCAGCTGACTTTTCTAAAGGCTTTTCTACCCTCGGCGCTAAAGGGATTGCGGAAAATTTCAACACTATTTGTGTTTCTTGATGACCCAGTAGAAGAAGAATAAGGGCTCCCTGCCCCCCCCCCCCCCACCGAAAAAAAATGTCCCAAAACAACGCAATCATTATTAATTCCGTTTACTACTTGATACCAACACGTGCATGATGGATCCCCCGGATGGATCCTTATTTAGACGGTGAGACAGTTCTGTTACGAGAAGCAATTCAACGAATTGCCATGGCTTGTATTTGTTCTAGAACGCACTACGCTCTTTCGATAACACGTGGCCCCTATTCAGCACAATATATACGTATTTTAGTTATTCTTAACAATGACCTAGATCTAAAACTGGCCGCGGATGTAACCCCCCCCCCCCCCCCCCCTTCGTCGCAAAGAAATATTCGATAAAATTCTTTGATACGGGCACATGCAGTGTATTTAATTTTGTTCGTAACATTAGTGTTTTGCAAAGAAAGAACATTCTGAAAATGAGCGTCTTCCTTCTAACGAAACATATTGATGATGTTCCCGACAATACGGATATCATTTGCATTAAAAAAAACATCGTAATACAGATAAAACGCTTTTTAAATCCAATTCATGGAGAAACTACGACATTCTGGATTAAGTATCATTTTCAACATCACGGATTTAAAAAAACGTTCTCTAATTTTAAGAAGATTCAAAGGATCTATGAAATAACAGACTGATGATATAATTATATGATTTATAATGATCATACGACAGAACTGTTTACAAGATGCAACAAAAATTGTTTTAAAAAAAACAAGAAAATCGAAACATGCGATAACATCGCTATAAGGAAATATAAAATTACAATTAAAGTGTCAAAACATGCACGAGGAAAACAATGTCAGAGAGAGTGGGGTAAGTATAAAATAAATTTGTTTTTTTCGTGAACAAATCAATTTGTATTAAAATTGATACAGTATATTGAACACAATCATGAACAGAACAGGAGGAGATGAAAAAAATGAACAATCATGCCAACGTTAACGCCTACAGAACTCCGATTTTGAGAGGAAAATAAACAATCAGAACAAACATTGTAACCAATGTCATGTATGTAAAATAGTATTAAAACAAATCAGTAGCCAAAGTAATGCTTTTCAGAGTCAAATCTCGCAAGACGAGAGCGACACACAAGCGGGCACTACATGAATAACTAATGCGCCGGACCGGGCGCGAAAGGGCGCGAAAGCTATTCAAAGTTTAAGCTCCCATTCACAAATGTCAAGTGCTTCACCGGGGCGCGCCCCGGCGGGGTAATTTCGTAACAATAAGACTCCAAACAATAGCCAGATTTTAATGAGCTGGCAACCAACTGAAGTCCTCTCCTATCCGACGCAAAAAGGCGCTAATGGGCGCATAAAGGCGCCTCCTTTGTTCTCATACCCTGCTCTGCGCCCCGACGCGTCGCGGCACAGTCGCAACTTTGGAAGGCTCCCCTTACAAACAGCCATAAAAATCGGAGAGTTGAAAGAAACGTCGAAGAATTTCTTGGCGTATTTAATAAAGGGGTCATCTTTGTCCTTCTGCGAGTTGACCTTGAGACCAAACCCACAGCTTGCCACAGAGTCCATTACAAAGCTCCCAAACAATCTAAGGTCGAAGGGAGAGAAGAGTGACAGGATATAGAGGGGGTGGAAATTGTGACAATAATAAGAGAGTGGGAAGAGGAAAGGGAAATGGAGAGAAGAGCGAAGAAGAGGGAGAGAGAGAGAGAGATATATAGAGAGCAAGAGGGAGAGAGAGAGATAAAGGGAAGGGAAACATAAAAAGAGAGATGGGGAGAGATAGACAGCGAAAAAAGCAAAGATAAATAAATAAAAGGGGAAGGAAAAGATAAATAATCAGTCCGTTCGACCACAAAAAAGAAGTTGGATATACGGTTTGAAAAGGATTTTTGTCACCTGGCAAAAAATATGTCTAGTACATCCCATCATCTACATGTTGATACATTGATAAACATATTGAAGTGTTTTCGTTTAACCCCAATAAGGCCGGGGGAGCCTTATGCCCCCCCCCCCCCCCCCCCCCCCTCCACGATTTTTTCTGATTGCTCGGGAAACGCATACAAAGTGGATGGCGCCCCGCCGCTCGCTGACTTTTTTCTTTCGAGTCTTGTGCATCTTTCAAAAAAATATTGAAAATCGGACGTACAGTTAGAAGGTCACGTGACCTTTTGTCTTTCCATGTCAGCCCGAAAATCGCTCATTTTCGTGATTTGCGTACAAAACATATAGAAATGTCTTTCTTCCTAAAAATAGATCAAACATTGGTTTAATATTGGGTCTTCTTTAAAGCTAATTTGGTTGTTTTGGTAGTCAAAATAGTTGAAATTGTAGTTAGAAATGAAATAAAAAAAATCAACAACAATGAAATACATAAGTTACAAAAACAATGAAATACATAAGAAATTATCAAAACAAGAGATAACATTAGGAATAAGCTGACTCTTCCAAATTTGTCGTTGTATTATTTTTCCAAATGGTGTAATGATTATATATAGTGAAAAAGAATGCTTAAATATGAATAATATATGATTAATGGGTAAAAATGTGAATTGTGACCTTATTTGCATAAATTACCATAAATATGCACAAAAATGAAATAATCACGGTATTCTATACACCTTACCTGACATGCGTGCAAACTTTCGCGGAGATCAGCCGTTTCACGGCCGAGATCTTAAGGGGGGCTATAATGCCCCCACCCCCGGTCGTACTAAGAACTCAAATAGCCCGGCCTTTTTAGGGTTAAAACACATTATCTATGAAGCCGTCCTTCCGGGATTTATACATGAAAAAGGCGAAACATGTCTCTTTCTCTTCCTCTCTCAGTCCGTCCCTTTCTCTGTTATTCTCTTTCTTAATATTTTTGTTTCTCTCCCTCTCTCCTGCAGTCTTCATGCAAGATACTTACTCAAGTGAATCGATGTTTCCATCCTCCTTACAAGATTGTAATAGCTTCTCAACCATTGTGTCTGCACCTTCATTGAGGATATCTGACATCTGGTGTTAAAAGATAAAGAACAAATACAAATACAATACATCAATCTCGGCCGTTAGCCAATACAATCATGTATATAGTATGTAAAGGATGAATGCGCATGCGTTCAGTGCACGATCTACATGCACTTGGGTTTAAGATGCGCGCGCACCTATCGTATTCAGGCCAACGGGTTTCTAATGATGGATGCCAAATGTCATGCTTTAAAATGAAACAAATATTATGCTAAGTAGATTATTTTATTTTATTTTATTAAGAAATCCTTCACACCTTAGGGGTACCCGTGGTTAAAATTAAATTTAAAAGATTCTCAATTTTGGGGAATTACTCAACTATGAATTCTAGAGCACCCTGGAATTAATGCAGATTCTGTTATTATGTATTTTTTTAACCCTAAAAAGGCCGGGCTATTTGAGGTCTTAGTACGGCCGGGGGGGCCATTATGCCCCCCCCCCTTAAAGGGACTATGTCCCATTTGCAGGCCAAAAAAATGAAAAAGTTAAATTCCAACTGCATTTGAAAGATAATACTAATTTAGAACTTCCCTAAAAAAGGTGGGGCTTGAAAATGTCTTCAAGTGGGAAAATAACGACTATTAGTTGTCAAATCGACTTTAGGGCTATAGAGCCCAAAAGTAATAGTCTTGATTTTCAGACAATTGTACCGAATGGTCATACGTTTTATGCTGCACAAAGATTCAATCACTTTAATCTTGGCCATCACAAGAAGTAGGTTATTGATGTAGACAAATGCTCATGTACCCTTTACAACTCTTTTCATGTATGTTATTACCAAAGAAGAAAAAAAGCCAGTCAGTCACTCAATAGTGTCTGACAGTGAAGTCTAGCAAGTAAACGGTTTCCCTTGCATAATTTGAATATGAGGACACTGCTAACGTTTAAATTTCAGAGATAGGACATACATGACATATTCATAATTCCTGGAAAGTTCTACAGCATTTGAGGTTGGCTGCAAAAGGGACATAGTACCTTTAAGATCTCGGCCGCGAAGCGGCTGATTGACGCGAAAATTCGCACGCATGTCAAGGAAGTGTTTAGAATAATATCATAATTTCAATTTTTTGAAAAATTCACTAATTTGCATATTTATGGTAATTTATGCATATAAAGTCATACAAATCACATTTTTACCCATAAATCATATATTATTCATATTTAAGCATTCTTTTTCACTACATATATTCATTACACCATTCTAAATAATAATACGACAAAAAAATTTGGGAGAGCCAGCTTATTCCTTATGTTATCCCTTGTTTTGATAATTTCTTATGTATTTCATTGTTTTTTTTAACTTATGTATTTCATTGTTTTTGTTGTTTTATTTCATTTCTTACTACAATTCAACTATTTTGAATCCCGAAACAATTACCTAAACTTTAAACAAGACCCCAAAACCCATGTTTGATCTGTTTTTAGGAAAATTTACTTTTTCATATGTTTTGTACACAAATCACGAAAATGAGCGATTTTCGGGCTGACATGCAAAGACAAAAGGTCACGTGACCTTGTAACCATAGGTCTGATTTTCAGAAAAAAACTTTTAAAAGTTGCGCAAGACTCGAAAAAAAAAGTCAGCGAGCGGCAGTACGCCATCCATATGCGTTCCCGAGCAATCGGAAAAATCGTAGAGGGGGGCCATAATGGCCTTATTAGGGTTAATTCTTTAACCATCTACGTCCTCCTCCCTTACATAAATCCCATACAGATCGCGCAACCCCCAAAATACACTACTTGCAAGGGTCACTTGATGAAAGGCATGGACTGTCTCCGTTTAAGCGTTGAGGGTGTGATTTTCACAACTGATTGGGCGTGTGATACGAAACCAGTCCATCAGTGGACTACCTGGACTGGAATAGCCCTCCAGTATATTTTTGTTTGATATGCTTTGCTCACACTCGAGATTTAGTCATTTAAGATCGTTTTGATTAAATACCATTTTCATTTTCTTTCCTGTGAAGGTTGGTGTCATGATATCACGAACTCTCTTCCACTGTGCGTCTCTCAAGAGGAAGAGGGCGTTGTCGAAACTTCCTGAGCTCACCGGCATCGGCTAGAAAAGAATGAAAACATTCTATATGATGCACTTAATAAGCCAGTTTATAGATACAATCTGCGCATGGTCAGATAAAGGTCATTTGTACCAAAAAGGTAGAACCCACCAGAGATGAATACTGGATATGCGCTCATGAAAGTTATGTAACATTATTCATTTATGCACCAACGGTACATTCTAAGATACGCAGGTGGAAGTATTCTTTTCAAGAGGGCAAACAAAAGGTATTCATGAAGCACATCTAGGACTTTGGCAGTTATTATTCTAAGATGCTCAAAGTGGAACTTCTCCATGTGTAAAAGATCTGTGGATATTTGTACCATGTGCTCTCTGTAAACTCCCTTATTCTAGAGTAACATGTAAAAGCAACCATTTTTCTCAGAAAAGCTGATCAACAGAGTTCCTGCACTTGTTGTATAAGCTGTTCAATATTATGAGGATATATTTATAATTTATCTGGTTTGTATAGACAATTTGTTATTGAGTGGCAGTCACTTCAATTCTTCAATTCGGTATGAATGAAAATGAGAGAACCACTTTGTAACCAAGTGAATCAAACTTTCGTAACTTCATGATTTGTTTTCTTTGTTTTGACTTTATCCAATAATAGCCTGTGATGGGCTAAATATATATATTTGTTAAAACGAAGACAGGAATAGCAACATTATATAAGTGTGTCGGAGCAATCATTAAAATCATTTCATTTTAATTCAGGTCATTCAATATTGTATAGGGACAGAATCGAACTGCCGATTGATCCATTATAAACTAAATTGGAATTGTATTGCATCACCATCATCGTCATCATCACCCTCATCACAACCATTGTCATCATCATCATAATCACGATCATCATAATCATCCCAACCATTGCCATTTTAATCACCATCATGACCACCATCATCATCACAGCCATTTTCATTTTTATCGCCATCATCATCATCATCATCACTTTCACCATCATCATTATTCTCATCTCAATCATCATCATCCTCATCATCACTATCTTAATCATCATACTTATTATTATTACTTACATTATCATTTATTCTTATTATTACCATTGTTTTGATTATTATGAGTAGCAGTAGTAATAGTCATATATAATATTATCATCATCATTTCATTCACTTTTTTCAAGATTGCATTATCAGTCAATCAAGCACAATTGTTTCATTCACAAGAAAAAAATATCAACATTTCTTACAAATTTATTGTAGAATCTATGGTAATCCTTGACCATGATATCACGTAGTATATCAAGGTCTCTGACTAGGAGCAGAGGTCGCCTCCACATGTAGATACCGACAACTGGACCGTATTTATTTGCGTACTCGTCAAGCAACTCGAAAATGGGCTGCTGTAAGGTGATAATTACAATAAAATATGATTGTCCTTCTTTAAACGAAACAAAAGAAAGATCCTGGCACTAATCAGCCTTACAACAAGTCATTACCATAACCCTAGACCTGCCTAGTGTGCATGGTTCTCTATGCAAATTGTACAAATTATAGCTACCTCAGAATACATAACGTTGTGGCTACTTTTATAAGCATACCTCTACGAATGATTATTATGCAATGCCTACCAAATTATCTAGAGAAACATAACATTATCTTCATCAGGGTCAAGGGTTAATCCTGTCTCATATAGCCAAGACGATGACACCGTTGTTAATCCCGCCATGGACCTTTTACCATTCTCGGTGTCTCTCTCTCTCTCTCAGCTCTTCCCCCCCCCCCCCCCCGCCCCGCCCCTCCCGCTGACTGGTGCTAAGCACACCCATGTCAGTCGCTGGGCGTATAACTACAAATGCTCTGTACTTTAGCTGACACGACCTGAGACTGACGTATCTAGGGTCTACTCAAGGCTTAAAAATTATGGTAAAGTAAATTTAGAGTCAGTCTCACCTCGCCAAAGTCCAACGCATTGCCAAAGATGGGTTTGGGAGGGGGTCCCGGAATACCAAGCCTCTTGAAATACGTATGAGTCCAGTAATCATAGCTAGAAACAAAACAAAATAGAGAAACAAAATTTCACAGGTTGCTAAAGATAATATCCGTAATTACTAATTTATCTTTCTGTAGGAAATGAAATAAATACGAATTGAATTGATATCGGCTCGTTAACATAATTATGACGGGGTATGTTTACGTGTAAAATGGATGGCAACTGCGCCCAACAACAATTAAAGGTCCAACGAGTATTTACTGAGCTCTGCGTTAAAGCCCCACTGCACTACTGGTAGCTACTTGCGCCCTCTATATAACAAACAATGCCTAATCGGTGACCATTGGTCCCCCAAGATCCTTTTTTTCTTATGTTAACTGAGAGCTGAGTTGATGAAAAAACCACCTGTCCAGTGACCTTGCAGAGCGGTCTAATCCCTCCTGTAAACTACGGCAGATAAGCTTTAAAAGATAAAGAAATGTGACTCGTACTTCACTTTTGTCGCGTCGTATGTGAACGAGGCCTGTCTCCTATACAATGTGAGTAAAAAAAAAAGTTTACACCTAGAAAATTCCTTAATATTTTAAATGTCATCCATGAACAGTAAACTATTATACATCTTATGAAAAAGTGTTTGATACATTCAATTCAATCTCGCATTTCGCTAATCCCAACATAATGTATAGGCATCACTTTGGCGCAAGTCGATTTTTGCACTCTCGCAAACAATGCCTCCTGTTCATCAAAGCGTGAACACTTACCACACAAAAATGATACCAAATGATTTGGGAAAAAACACTCTTTAATAAGATGTACAATAATTTAGTGTTCATAGATGATTTTAAAAATAATTAGCAATTTTTTTTAGGTTTAAACTTGTTTTTGACTCACGCGGTATGTGGCGGTACCCCAGGTCCCCTAGGTCGTAACGTTTCCTTTGTGAAGAAATATAGATCTTCCTTACGTAAGAATGTCGTTTGAGTCCTGCTAACTTTGGTTAAAAATCTGGAGCCATGGGCTTTTTAGAAGAATGTCGGAAAAGTTTTTCCCTTTTTTTAAAGTGTATGCAGACGACTTACGACGGACAAAAAGCGATTGCAAAATAATAGCTAATTACCTGAGCATTTAGTAATTATTACGATCCTGCACAAATTAAGTCAAACTTCAAGAACATCCTAAAAATCGTTAGAAAATGGATTGCATTGTCCTGAGGTAAAAAAAAAAACGCCTAAAATTCAACCAAATGAGCTTCAATGTTGACCTTGGACTAGTTATTCTGCATCAAGAAGGTTATTTGTTCATTTTAGGATCTATTTTAGTCCATTTATACCATTTCTATGATGTTCTGGAAGTAAAGAAATACAGTAATCCGATATACTTACATGAAGAAGATAACGACCACGGCTACCATGAGATACACAGTGGTCATTGAGAAAAGACCGCTTATCGTTCCGAGAACGGCCATGATGTTGCGTCCGATGTAGATATTCGAGTATGATTTCTTCACTAAACACTGCTAGATTAGCGAACTTCGATCGAACCTCTCTCTGACTATAACTTGTAAGATATGAATTTAACACTCCCACGTATGATACGTACGCGTTTTCGTATTGACTCTAATACGTTGCGATCGTTATGTGTTATGTGCACCTCCGAGCTCTGTCTGGCCGAGTCTGACGAGAGACCTAACCTTTGATCGTTCTTTTTTCACAATGCAAGGTGTTTGTTTTGCCCAGGGGCTAGATCGATGTTGTACAAACTTGTTTTGATGACTCGAAGGACTTTATCAAAACTTTATCTAATTTCGTCCAATTCAAGAGGGAATGCCTCAGTAAATATATGAAGATATTGTAGGTTTCATCCTTGTAGTCGTAATACTTCCTATTTAAATACCAAACCCAGTTTCTGTGTCCGTCACTATTTAGAATTTTAATGAATATTCAAAAACATTTTATATGTCGATTGTTCCCATTTGGAAACACGTTTTAACACGTTTTCTTTTTCAACTGAACGGCTAAGAGCAAGATGTGTTTCATCTGTTTGCAGTTTGAAAACTGGCTAATAAGCAACAGTTTCCAATCAGAAATCCATTATGATTGGTGACGTTGGAAATAATTTATCTCATTTCATTTCTTGTAATATGTCAAGCACTGAAACATTTATTTCTGGATGATATAAGTGAAATTTTAAAAAATCTGACCTCTTTTGGCAATGTGTAGTTTTAGCTATTTTGAGCACCTGTTGAATGTTAACTCCTAAACTTTTGTTGCAATTGTACACAATCATGTTATTTACTCTGTTTAGCGTTCGTCAGGTTTTTGTCTATCTCTGTCCGTATTTCATTCCCTTTTTTCATTCTTTTAACTTGATTGTCTTTTTATTAAAATTCCTTTACACTATGTTTTTGATTATATTTTTTTGGATCCCGTGAAGGAACAGTGGCATTACGTACATGTCAATGAAATGGGCTATCCCCCATATCTATATTAATTCGTGATTTACCGTGTACATTTCAAAGTTTTTATCGATAATGTTGTAGAAAAAAAATCATGATACAAATAATCATACACAGCGAACGTAGAAGTTAGGATCGTGACACGATTCAATTATAGTTTAATTTGATATAGCTGGAAGACAGAACTACGCATGCTCACAAATATTTATCAATATTTACTGCCTACATATTTGAAATCACATCGTTTCATTAACAACCGCTTCCAAAATTTAATTGGTAATTAAATTACTTGAAACGTACAATGATATACCATGTACTATTACATACAAATAATGAGGTAGATACATATACATTTACTAATGCCCGAACAAAATGATGTGTATTAATTGTTTTATAAGATTATGTTTTATTTGTTTTAAAAAATGATGTTTTCTAATATGATTTTGATAATGACCGGTCCTTACCATTGGATAATGACCGGTCATTGCCCAAATTACTATGCGCGATTACGCGCTAGGCAAAATAAATGCCTGGTCACGTGTACGCTTTCAACCATTCATTTGATTAGGATCCACGTCATCATCTTATAATATGTATTATTCATATTATAATTGAAAGCGTAGCCTAAAAAACATATTGTAGGAATGTTTGATCTAAAACTACACCTAACACGATTGCAAAGACTTCGATAAATCAACCTAAAGCAATATTCATCACCTATGGACATTTGCCAATATTACGAAATCTTCTCATATTTCCTAATTATGTCCAAATTAGGGTATTGGAATTTACCGGCCTTGAGTTGATTTCTCGAAAGGCTTTGCGATCATGTTACAATCAACAACTGAATTATTTTTAAGTTTAGTAATGTGAATAATTGATTTGTCTCTTTCTATGTTTCTTGGGAATATGATCTATTAAAGGTACTATGTCCTTTTTGCAGGCCAAAAAAATGAACAGGTTAAATCCCAACGGCATTTGAAAGATAATACTAATTTAGAACTTCCCTAAAAAAAAAGGGGGGGGGGGGGGCTTGAAAATGTCTTTAAATGGGAAAATAACGACTATAAGTAATAGTCTGATATTTAGACCACTATACCGAATGGTGGTACTTTTTATGCTGCCCAAAGATTCAATCAGTTTATTTTTGGCCATTACAAGAAGTGGGTTATTGATGTAGACAAATGGTCATGTACCCTTTACAGCTCATTTTATATATATTATTACCAAAAAAGAAAAAAGCCAGTCAGTCACTAAATAGTGTCTGACAGTAAAGTCTAGCAAATAAACGGGTTTCCTTGCATAATTTAAATAATATTAGGACAGTGCTAACGTTTAAATTTCACAGATAGGACATACATGACATATTCATAAATTCCTGCAAAGTTCTACAGAATCTGATGTTGGCTGCAGAAGGGACATAGTATCTCTAAAGTTAACATGTTAAAGCTTATCTGCCGTAGTTTATAGGAGGGATTAGACTGCCCTGCAAGGTCACTGGACAGGTGGTTATCTATCAACTCAGCTCTCAGTTAACATAAGAAAAAGAGGATCATGGGGGAGCAATGGTCACCGATTAGGCATTGTTTGTTATATAGAGGGCGCAAGTAGCTGCAAGTAGTGCAGTGGGCCTTTAAAGCATACAACATAGGCCCCATTTCAACCTGTCTACTTTTCATTCATGGGTTACGAAATTTAAAAAGAATTATTAAAAATAAATAAAATAAAAAGCGTTAAAAATTACAAAGGATATGATTTGTAAACTGCATTTTATTATTCAAGACAGAAAGCACATTCAGAGAGTAAAACAAAATATTTTCATTGTGATATTACTTTAATATTATGCTACAGTGATCAACAGAGAAAGTAGGACCTCCTAATTGTTTTAATTTCTCCAAGAAACTATAACTTTTTTTCTCTATTAGCCTTACTTATCTTTCTCCTGAGGCACGTACCGGTGTGCTGGCTCAGTCAGTAGAGCGTCCGTCTCACAAACCGGGAGGTCGTGGGTTCGAACCCCGGCCGCGTCATACCAAAAGACGTTAAAAGACGGGAGTTGCTGCTACGTACCTTGTTTGGCGTTCAACAATAGGGGATAGATCAACGTCGATCTGGCGCTGCTCAGTGGCTGCCGGGCTCACGATCAATTGGGCTAAAAGAATTTCCATTTTCGGTTAAATAAAATTTAGAGTGAACTTTAAAAGATTATTATTATTATTATTAGGACATAATACGAATGGCCGTTTTGGTTTCGGATAGTAAGATATAACGGCAAACTGTCACCCTAATTTCGTTTTTCAACCTTTTTTCGGTCACGGCACCCTTTTCAGAAAAAAACGACCACATAATATCTTTATAATTAAGGCGGGCGAGCGAGCGGAGCGAGCAATTAAGCAATCAAAAAGACACCTACAATGTTATGTTTAAAATAATTGATGTAATTAACACTAGATAAGCTATGAACTATGACGTATGCCCGCACCCCTCTACGTATGGCTTTGCTGCTTGTACTCAATGACGTTGTGTAATCTTGAGGGTGTAGCTGCTTTTCTTCGACAGGAGCGAAGTTAATCCGACATCTGGTGGGATCTGTTATCATAAATTCACACAAATTGTATTTCGAGGAGAAAAAACATGAGGGCTAGTTTGCAGGCACAGAGTTGTTGTGAGTAACGGTGCCTGCTCTTTGAGACTACAGTACAATAGGCTCTGTAATTTAGCTGCTCATGATAGCCAGAGATATCCAGGCTCTACCCAAGGCTTTAGGAATTGTAGTAAGTATCAAATTATAATCTGTGCTTACAGACTACACCAAGGCGAGGGCGGATAGAAAAATCCGATATATTATTAGGCCCTAAAGAGGGCGACAAGCATCATTCACAACAATCGAACCGGGATAGAGTGTATAAACCCTGGGGTCTCTCGCACATGTGCATGCAGCTCAAAGAATTTACTGGCAATTAAGGTGCCTTACACCTCAACAAAACTAGATGGACCTTCGACCGCGCGCAGTCGAAAATGATGCCTCCGCCATGGAGCAATTTTACAAACCAAAACAGAAGCGAGCTATTTTTGCATACATAATGAGATCTGTAACCTTTGACCTCATTACACCCAAAATCTAATTAGTTCATTGACTCTGCAAGGTAAATACATGACCCAAGTTTGGCGGGAATTCATCAATAGGTTCTTGAGATAACGCGATCACGAGCTATTTTTGCATACATAATGAGTCCTGTCACCTTTGACCTTGGATCTCGCGACCCCAAAATCTAATTAGTTCATTGGCTCTGCAAGATACATACATGACCCAAGTTTGGTGGGAATCCATCAATGGGTTCTTGAGATAACGCGATCACGAGCTATTTTTTCATACATGTATAATGAGCCCTGTGACCTTTGACCTTGGATCTCGCGACCCCAAAATCTAATTAGTTCATTGGCTCTGCAAGATACATACATGACCCAAGTTTGGCGGAAATCCATCAATGGGTTCTTGAGATAACGCGATCACGAGAACGGGACGTACGTACACACGTACGTACGGACGAACGGACAACCCGAAAACATAATGCCTCCGGCTACTTTGTAGCGGAGGCATACAAATTGAAGGGGCACATAATGTACATATTTAAGCTATGTATTTAGGGTATTCATAGTATTAAAAGAGGAATATAATAGATATGCTCGGACCAAAAATCCCAAAGTGCTAATCAATCTATATATGAAAACATAACGCACCTTGGTCAAGGGCGAAATCTCGAAGCGGACTACTTGCAAGGATCGGACTAGCGCCATTTTGGCTTCCATGAGGGCGAACCTCATACCGATACAGACACGTGGTCCTGCACCGAAAGGCAACCAGGTGAACGGGTTGCGACCCTCGCGATTCTCCTTCGTAAATCTGTGCAGGGGTCGTGGAAGGGTGGAGGCAAGGAGGGAGGGGAGTGAGAGGGAGAGGGAAGGGGAAGGAGGGGAGATGGGGAGGGAGGGAGGGGAGGGAATGGAGGGAAGGGAGGGGATCAGGAGGGAGGGAGAAGGAGAGGGGAAGGGAGGAAAGAGGGAGAGTGGTTGGGGGAAAGGAGGAGGAGAGTGGTTGGGGGAAAGGAGGGGGAGTAGTGGACAGAGAGAGATATAGAGACAGGAGAGGAGAAAATAGCAAAGAAGAATAGAGAGAGGGGGATATTATATGCGGAAAGTAAAAGAGAAAGAGGGAGAAACATAGAGAGAGAGAGAGAGTACCATCACATGTAAATCTATAGAACTTGATAAACAAATTCTTTAAATCACAAGGCAGCAAAAGGCATAGCCCTAGTACAAATTTTAACCAAACTAAACAGTTGGTTTTTGATTGGTTGTGAGCTCTTCAAGTGACCAGAAATATTTCAACCAAATTCAGGTTGCTCTTGAAAAAGTACCTTTTGGGAATACTACTTTGGAGTAGAAATACTATTTTGGAGTGCTATTATGAGTTAAAGGGAAAAAAGATAATTTTAAAAAATTTATTTTTGTAAATTTAATTGAAATCATAAAATGTTCAAATATTAAGTCTTAGGTGTAATTATTTGTTTTTGTTATTTGCTTCAATTTAGTAAGCATTTTAACTTTGTTAAATGTATAAAAAAAAAAAATAATAATAATAATAACATTCGCATGGTTCTGAACATCAGATATACCTAACTTTATTATTCGACCAATTTATTTTAAACTTTCGCTTGTCCGTTTCTCTTATTTCTCTGCTTTCGCAACCATGACATTATTACAAATGTTGGACTGCCTTCCACGCCCCACCTACCTGTCAGGATTAAACTTGAGGGGATCGGGCCAGTAGGTCGGATCACGTTGAATAGTGTAGGCTGGTATCCAGATCTGCATACCCTTCTCAATCTTATAACCCTTGTAAGAACACGTCTCTCCGCATTCCCGATCAGTCCTGTGGTGAAAGGAATAATGGGACATAATGAAATACCGTAACAACAAACAACAAACAGAGAGACCAAGAAATTAAATAGAAGAAAGAAACTGTAAGAATGCTTATTTTCTGAGTCGGAAAAGAAAAGAACACAGGTTTGGTCTAAAATTTGATCAAAGGCACTGAAAATACAGCCAACAAAAACGAAAATTGTAAATTCCAATGGCATTTGAAAGAAAATACTAATTCAGAATTTCCCTAAATACAAAAGCGCACTTATTTAAATACTTGTACGGAATGGTTGTACTTTTTGTGCTGCGCAAGATTTAATCTTCGTATTTTTTGGCGTTTACAAGAAGTGGGTTATTGATGTGGGAAAATGTTCATGTATGTTATTACCACATAATTGGTCAGTCACTAAATAGTGTCTGACAGCGAAATCTAGAAAGTAAACGGGTTTCCTCGCACAATTCGAATACTAGGACGCTGATAACGCTTAAATTTCACAAATAGGACATACAGGTACGTGACATATTCATAAGTCCTGCAAAGTTCTACAGATTTCGATCAACAAATATAAAGGTTCGGAGGGACACATGGGCGTAAATCCTTACGTAATACCTATTGTTCAGGGGGGATGAATGAATAGATCATCCCCCCTGAACAATAGGTATTACGTAAGGATTTACGCCCATGGAGGGACAGCAGCTATTAAAGTTTGAAAGGATTTGTTAAGCCCTAACTTGTCAAATAAAAACGTACTTTGGGGGATGAGGGAAGCAGGGGTCAACCAACAAGCACTATTGTTTATTTTAGAATAATTTTCCTCCTATTATTCTATATTTTAGCTATTAAACATGATGGCAGACTTTTGACAAATCGACTTAAAGCCAGTCTGCAATAGTTCCCTACAAGGTCACTGACAGGTGGTTATCTCATCAAATCAGCTCTCAATTAACATAAGAAAAAGGGGATCATGGGTGACCAACGTGCACCGATTAGGCGTTGTTTGCTATATAGAGGGCGCAAGTAGCCATAAGAAGTGCAGGGGGCTTAAGATAAGGAAATTATACTAACTTCCGCATCTCCTTTAGCCATGTGCGCACATTTAAAAGTAGTACGTAATCCGCACAGGGTTTTTAAAGGATACATGATAGGATATTGAAATCGCCCTTGCGTTGATTTTTTCTTCTCCAAGGTCTTTGCAATCTAGTTCAAAATTACTTGATCTAATGACTTACACAACCGCCGGTGGATATATCCTGAGCACCTCACACACTACTTGGTCCAAGTAGGGCATCTTGGAGATCGTCGTATAGCCGACGTCATCACGTTTTGGTGCGATGTCGTCGATCTCGGCAATGAGTTTGTCTTGGCAATCGGGGTTAGAGGCCAGGAGATAGGAGGCGAAGGTCAATAAGGTTGCAGTGGTATCGTAGCCAGCAACCAGGAATACCATAGACTACGGAAAATGTATCAATCATGAATATTTTACGATTTCTGAGAGATTCAGCTTAGGCACATTTAAACAAAATAGCAGGAATAAGACAGACTAATATTTTTATGATAATGATGATGAGAATGATAAAAAATAATGATAATAATAATACTAATATAGATTAAAACAATAACACGGTGATGATGTTGTAGATGAAGGAAAAGAAGATTGAAAGAGAAGAAGGAGAAGACTGAAGAATAAGAAGGGGAAGAGGGAGAAGAAGATGAAGAAGAGAAGACGATTATCAAACTGGAAAAAAGAAGAAGGAGGAGGAGGAGAAGACTAAGAAGAAGGAAAAAAAAAGAAGAAGAAGGGTTTCGTACCTGAGCAAGCAGTTCCTCTCTTGTCATGTATTTCTGAGTTTTGATCAAAATGTTCTCATCAGCTCCTGCGTCTTTGAAGTATTTGTTATGAATGTCGTCTTCGTCGTTTTCATTCGCCATTTTACTTTTACCATTCTTGGCATCAATCAAGAGCTGTAGAAAGTCCACTCTCTGTGTGACCAAACCAAAGGAGATATAAAGTCCAACATATGGAAAAGTTTCAGGCGAAATTGGATTTGTGCGTGTCTTTCTTTGCTCAGCGCGCACAGCTACGTCTCATGAATAATTCATGACCCTACACACTCAGCTACGCAAAGGCGAGTCATGGCGTGATATGACGTAATAACCCTCTATGCTAATGAGCTTGGAGTGTCGCCAAATGTGATTGGATGAAAACGATCAATCTTCTTACTTTTTCAATGATTCCGACGAATTTTGTTTAGACCATTCAGCTTGATTTTGATATATAACAGAGAGGGATAAATTCCGCACTGGAAGGTGAAAACGCTGTATGCGTAGGGTAATCCGTTGCTGGGTTACAGAGTCTTAAACACGGGGTTATCGAGTATGTTTCCTGCTTCGAATTGTGCAAGTACGAGCCATGCTATGGAAGGGTTGGTGTCAAAATTCACTTGAAAATCTTTCTTTCGAGGCCTATTCTGACGCAAATACTTACAAAGATTTTCTCATGTTCTGGAAAATAAAATAAAAAATATACACAATAGAATACCGTTCGCGCCAGCCTTGTATTTTGCAGCATTGCAAAGTTACACCAATATCTTTGACACAAGAACAGTTTTTGAAGCCTGTGCCCATTGGTTATAAGACAAGCGCGCAAGCATGCGTTCGAGACTCGCCAAAAACACCACTTTTCCATATTCAGCGTTTAAGATGCAAAAATAAACAAACTAACGAATATCGTCCTCCTAAAATGACATCTGATATAATCATTCAGATCTTTTTGAATATTTCCGCTGCATTTTGGGCATATTTTACCTTGATTTTGCGCCAAGGAGTATAAAAAGTACTAACAGAAAAAATATATCACACTATAATGGAATAAGCTTTATGATAATAGCAGAAATAGTACTGTCATAACAAAATCTGACGGACCTGTTTGGAAGGATGACTTTCTCTCAGAGCGACTGCCTTCTCTGTGACGTCAGTGAAGAAATTAATGACGTCTTTCGGGAAGAGTGTGAAATTGAAGAACTTGAAGACAGGCCTCAGGCAAGGCATGCAAGCTAATTGAAGGTCAATATAAAGGCATATTTGGATGCATGTTTAGTTAATGATTACATTTCAGTTTCAGTTTCAGTCTTATTTTTCATTTCCAACGGAACAGTGATTTTGACAAGGAATCAGATATACAATTCAGTATTCAATAATATAATACATTTTAAATGATTTTAAGTTATAAAACAGAAAGTGTACACAAATATCCAGTATCATAGTTCTTTTTCATTTTTTAATTTAAGAGTTTGAACATGGAGCGATCCACTGTAGAGCAAAGCGTGTAAAATGTGGATCCCTCAAAAACAATGATAAACATAAGTTGTGTAACATGTAAATATATTGAATTGAAAAAAATATATACATAGATTACCAAAAAGGGGCAGAATGATAATACACATACAATTATAAATCCGTAATTTGAAAACTTGTTACAACACATTCAAGGGTAAAAGTATAGTAGGTAGTTTTATATCATATCGTCTATTGGGAGAGAGAAGGACTTAATCCATTAGCTTGTTCGTTTAACACATAGTTCATGCCCTTCTGGCTCCAAATTCACAAAAAGTACCCTTCGCAAAATACGCAAGCCAACCAAACGTTTGTGAACACGGCTTTTTGTTTTAACGTAAAGCACATCCACCCCAACGTACGTTATCACTAGCTCTTTCATTGGAACCCTCATGTCCCATTGACTTTTGAAAGTTCACCCACCGTAATCAGATCAAAATAGGTTGCAAGCTCGTCATTGTCTATAATACACATGTGAAACAAGTCGAACTTTGGACTCAGTTTGCCAAGCGATTTTAAGATTATAGGTCAAGCACACGAAGTATAAGAAGCATGAATTATCATATATCACTTCTGCTTGGTTCATTATGTCCATTTCATCCAACCACCCACCGTATTTTTTCCATTTAGTAAAAGCAAACATTTTGCCGAGGTAAGCAAAAACATGAATATTCATGAACGGTCAGACAATACAGCCTTTTAGTACGTAACATATAGTGAATAGGAAGGGGCGATAATCCGTCCAGGAGGTAAAGGTCAGTGGTTTGTGCTGGCAATGTTCCAGCAAGCGAAAATGAGACAACCGGAGCAATATGCGGGTTACCCCCCCCCCCCACTCAGTGTTATTTTGGGTACGCATATGCATGTTCCCTTCTTTTAAAAACACCACCCTAAAGCAGGGCTCCCACTTAGCCGAGTTGGAGCCACGAGTTGTGGCGAACTGGCTCGATCTTATGGCAAGCCGTTTTATCATTAAAACATATTTCTTGATATCAAGAAATCAATTCTTGATATCCGCTAACGTTGTAAAGCAATGGTTATTCTTGATACCAAGAATTCGATTTCGTGAAATCAAGAAATATGTTTTAATGATAAAACGGCTTGCAATAAGATCGAGCCAGTTCGCCAGAGCTCGAGGCTCAAACTCGGCTAAGTGGGAGCCCTGCTTAAGTCCGGTGTGTAAAGTCAATACGATTTGTGTGTACTACGAGCCGGACTTTGGTACGTGGAAAATACCCCTTTACCGGACATTTTGGGAACACGCATGGTATCCATCCGTTCACGGAGTGGGGAGGGGGGCAGGGGGCGGGGAGGTTTAATACTTACACACAGCCATGAAAAGCGGAGAGTTAAAAATTAAAAAAAATTCGAAGAATCTCTTGCCGTGTGTAATGAAGGGGTGATCTTTGTCTTTTTGCGAGTTAACCTTCAGACCGAACCCACAGCTTGCTACAGAGTCCATTGCAAAGCTTCCAAACAATCTGAGGTAGAAGAGGAAAGAGGAGTAACAGGGTAGATAGAGGGTGGCAATTGTGGCAATAACAAGAGAAAGGGAAATAGAGAGAGAAGGGGTGGGGAGGAATGAAGAGAAAGAGAGAGAGGGGGAGGAAGAGACAGCGAAAATGAAATATAAAGAAATAAAAGGAAACAAAATTAAGCCCATGGCTGACCTTAAAAAGATGACCTTACCCCCCCCCCTCCCCCCGACAAATTTTCAAATTTCGAGACTAAAAAAAAAAAAAAAAAAAAAGTGTCCTCTTTAATCGCCCCCCCCCCCCCCCCCCCCGCGATTTTAGAGCAAAATAATAAAGCTGAGTCGTTGCGAAATTTTGGGCCCGATTTAAAAAAAAAAACTTGAAAAAATCCTGCGTACGCCCCTGCTAACATTAAGGGACTTGATAACATTGTTAAGATGAGAAATAATGGTGCTAAGGTAGTGACTTCAACGCTCGATGTACAATTAAAGATAATCTGATAAACTGATCTGATCGATTTCTTAATTCTCCCAACTATGTTATTACAATCTACATTTTAGGTGAATGGAAATCGTCACCAAGCAATAAAATGGCTTTACATTCCATTACAGAAATTTAAGTGTTGGCAGATTTTTATAGCCTGTTTTATGTCTTTTTTTCATTGAAAAACGGTTGGGAAAATTCAAAAATGGTTGGGAGACTGTTAATCACTGTTAAAGGGTGTCATACATCGACCTTTTCCAAGAAAACCATAAATATCTCCGTGGTTTGAGAATTTGTTTCAGGATTTTTTGCATGTCAAAGGGTTAGTACAGTAGAAGGAATATAGTAAGTAACATTGTATACAAAAATTAAGCTTTTTTCATCAACCTTCAACAATGTTACCAATTCACTTTAACAGACAGTGTCTCAGATTTTCTGTGATGTTTTAATCTTTACTCAAGAAAAGGATAAGGCAAGAATCCTTTTTAGATTTTGTTTGTGAATTCGTTATATAAAAGATATGTGGACTGCTTTAATATTCGAAGCATAGTTGTTTCTATACTGGCTCCCGGGGATGTTACATCCTGCTATGACCCCTTCAACCTTTAGAAACTGCTTTGCCTCTCATAGCAGTCAATATATAATATGAAACAGTCATTACGGGATTTAAACATGAAAAGGGCGAAAAATTCTCTCTCTCTGTCCATTTCTTTCACTCTTATTATCTGTTTTAAAATTTGTTTTCTCTCTCTCTCTCTCTCTCTCCTTCCTGCAATCTTCTTGACAGGTACTTACTCAAGTGAATCGATGTTCCCGTCCTCCTTACAAGATTGTAGTAGCTTCTCAACCATATCGTCTGCACCTTCATTGAGGATACCTGACATCTGGTACAGATAAAGTACGGATATTGTAACACATCAAACTACGCAGTAAGCCAATAGTATGCAAATGATGAATGTGCTTGCGTTCATTGGACGATCTATCTGCTATAAAGTCATATACTCAGGCCGACGCGCTCATTATGATGGATGTCAAATTTCATGTTTTAAAAGTGAAAAAATATACTATTCCTTCCTTATTCAGTACCTTTCTGCTGAAATTATAGATGTTTTCATCATATCAGAGGGAGCTATAAAGCGACTGAGCCATAATATATATATATATATATATATATATATATATATATGTATATGAGCCATGTATATTTGGGAACAGGTCACAATCTAGCAGTGTGAAGTGAATTGAACTTTGTAATAACAAATCCTTCCCATTAAGGGGACCCCTGAATAAATTGAATTAAGAAGATTTTTTAGTTTTGAAATGACTCATCTATGAATTCTAGAGAATCCTAGATTTAATGCAGATTCTGTTATTATACATTTTTTTTTAATTCTTCAACTATCTACGTCCTCCTCTCTTTGACTGTACATGAATCCCACAGAGATCGCGCAACCCTCGAAAATACACTCGTTGCGAGGGTAAGAATTAACGGCAAGGACTGACTCCGTTTAGGCGTTGAGGGTGTTATTTTCTCAGCTGATTGGGCGTGCGATACGGAAACAGTCCAGGCAGTGAACTACCTGGATTGGACTAGCCCTCCAGGATATTTAGTTTGACATGCGTTGTTACACCCGAAATTGAGTGATCATGGTAATTAAGGTTCGTTTTGTTTGAATACCATTTTCATTTTCTTTCCTGTGAAGGTTGGTGTCATGATATCACGAACTCGCTTCCATTGTGCGTCCCTCAAGAGGAAGAGGGCGTTGTCGAAACTGCCTGAGCTCATCGGTAATGGCTAGAAAAGAATGAAAACAAGGTATATGATGCACTCAATTGCATATTAAAGGGATCGTTTAACAATGTTAAATCTGAGATGCACGGCCCTACGTGTTATCAGTGTCTGTGATATGGTGTAATATTAAAGCCCTAAAAGAACTTGCGCTTCAAAATGATCAAGAAGTGCCTCAAAAAAGCAAAAAATCTTTGAGTGACCGGTATTACCATACTCGTTTTCCCCAATAAACTGTAGTGTTATGAAAACCGTTTGGCAAACAATTTTCAAAATTTGTAATTCCAATCATAGCAGTATTATTATTATTATCACCATCATTGCATTCACGTTTAGTTATTCTTTATTATCAGTCAATCAAGCACAGTTGCATCATTCACAAAAAGAAAAGAAAAAAAATCAACATTTATTACAAATTTATTGTAGAACCTATGGTGGTCCTTGACCATGATATCACGTAGCATATCGAGGTCTCTGACCAGGAGCAGGGGTCGCCTCCACATGTAGATACCGACAACTGGACCGTATTTATTTTCGTACTCGTCGATAACCTCGAAAAGGGGCTGCAATGAGGTGATAATTAGGATGAAATATAGATATCGATTCATTATCCAAAGTATGTAATTATTTTCGCCTCATTTATGTTACTCATTATATTTTCATTTTCATTATCATGTTACTGTTAATACACTGTTAGCTAAGTAAGAGCGTTTGTTTCGTATAAATTAAGCACAATGTTCATTTCACATTTCTTGTTAATGCTTAATACATGAACGTAATTTCCATTTGTTTTGTAAAGCGCTTAGAAACTATACGTGTATTTTAGCGCTATATAAATTTTAGACATTATTATTATTATATGATGACACTAATTAGCCTTACAACGAACCATTACTATAACCCTAACCAGGCGCGGATCCACGTAGCGATTTCTCCGGCCCGTCCCCCCCCCCCCCCCCTCCCCTAGCCCCCCAAAAGGTAAGAAATAGGAAAATAACGTAAATTTAACCTTTTTTTAAACAAAGAACAAAAACGGGCCCCCTGACCAAAAAAATGTTATTATATTTTCACCCCTTCAAACAAAAAGTGGTACTCATCTCCATCACCCTCTCCCCCCCCCCCCCCGCCCGCTTATTCACCGACTTGAAGAATCGCTGCTAAATATTTTCTCACGAATTGGGGAAAAAAAATATGTGTTCTTACCCCCCCCCCCCCCCCCCACGCTTATTCACAGGCCGGCTGAGTCGGTGCTGATTTTTTTTTGCCCCCCCCCCCCTCTTGTCGCAGGCTGGATCCGCCCCTGACCCTAACACTATTCCATGTATACGGTTCTCAATGCCAGTTGTACAAATTATAGTTACCAAGTAGATTTGTTTTTAAAGATACCTCTACGAATGATAATGCCTACCAAATCATCTAGAGAAACATAATATCATCTTCATCAGGGTCAGGGGTCATTCATGTCTATAACAAAGACGATGACACCGTTGCAAATGCCGTCATGGACATTTTACCATTTTCTGGACGGTTATGCATTATGGCTCAAGGCATGGGCACACAGAAGATTTTTTTATGTTGGGGACCGGGGTAAAATGCAATAAATTATTGAAAATTTATTGCATTTTCTGTGTTTTATTTTATTTATGGAAACTGCCCCCTACCCTAGCCCCCGCTGCGTACAATCATGGTTCAGTGACAAAGCAATGGCCTCGTAACTGTGAGGCCCCAAGATCAAAACCGTGTCGATGTGCTATATATTAGTGCCCTTTTGTGGGGCATTAATCCTCATTACTGTCATTTATGACTTAAGGGCGTAGGTCCCCTAGTTGATAAGCATAGTAGCTACATGCTTTAGCAGTCACGCAAAACACACATTGTCAAATGATTATTCAATAAAATCTGAGAATGTATACTATTGTTTTGATCTATTATTTTTAAATTATTTTTAAAATAATTCCATAAATTGGGGTAAAACAAAAATATTCCAACTTTATGAGCGACAGTGTTTAACTACATATGCTCTGTACTTTAGCTGTACAGCCTGTCACTGACATATCTAGGCTCTACTCAAGGCTTTAGGAATTAAGTTAAAGTTAGTGCCAGCAGACTAGTAAATGATTTGAATCTTTTTAATTTAAAACTGGTCATCTTACCTTACTAAAGTCCAACGCATTGCCAAAGATGGGTTTGGGAGGGGGTCCCGGAATACCAAGCCTCTTGAAATACGTATGAGTCCAGTAATCATAGCTAGGAAAAACATAGAGAGAGAAAGGGAATTTCGCAGGTTGCTAAGATATCGTGTAAAGGCTCGTTAACATACGACGTGAAACCGCGGCGGGTTCTTTTTTGTTTGTTTAAATGTGTAAAGCGTGTAGGGTGAATGGCAACTGCCCGCAACCAAGGTTCAACGAGTATTCGGATTCGGTTGTTATTATACACATAATAGAACACATTCTCCACTCCCTTGGGAGCATTCCAGTTAGTCGCCTTTTTACATGCACGCACAATGAAGTTCTACATGTTACCCGATGAACACCATGGTGGAGAGGAGCATAATGCTTTGCTCAAGGACATACATGAATATGCTTATTATTATATGCCTAATATGATTATGTACCTAATATATTACAATGTATAGGCTATCCCCAATATTTACAAAAATGGGGCATTTCTGTCATTTCTCACAGAACATTATTATTGATCAATTTATTAGTGCTGTGAAGCTTTTGCCTGTCCTAACAGCTAGCAAAGGTCGACTATTAAGTCGTTATTCTCACTGGATAATGTTTATCCTGAAACTGGCCAAATGCGAAAATCAAATACATAAGTATCATTATACTTAACCACCCCTCCGTGGTCGGAGGGACCGCATTCGAGTTCCCAAAATGTCCGGTAAAGGAGTACTTTTCACGCACCAAAGTCCGGCTCGTAGTACACAAAAATCCGGCCCGTATTGACTTTACACACCAGAATTATAGGGGGGTGTTTTCAAAAGGAGGGAAAATGCATACGCGTATCCTAAATAACACTGAGTAGGGGGGGGGGGTTGATATTTATACGACATATAAGAGGGTTAGCTCCGTCCATCTTCACTTTGTTGCAATGAAGAATGAGAGAGGAGACCATAGGTCCTATGTATCCAAAGGAGATAGTGCCTCGTACCCCGCCCCACTTGTAACCCACGACCAGTGCCTACCCCCCCCCCCCCCCCCCGGCCCTTCCGCAGGTCACTGTACACGCTACTGAACAACATATTCATATTCCCTCGTGAGACCAAAATAAAGAAGTATGATACGGGGAAACGTATCCAGCCATGCACTTTTGAGAAGAGGTCTAAAACGTAGAAAGTGCCCATGAAGAGCTTAGGGGGGCGCTACCCCAGGTCCCTCTTAACATTCCTATCCTATTTTGAACAAATTAGGATATCCTTTGCCTAAGGATAATTGATACAAAGTTTGGTTAAAATCCGGCCATGCGTTTCGAGTTGAAGTTGAAAATATTAAAAGTGCTCCTGAGGCAGTTTGGGAGCACCGCCCCATGCAGGCGCCCTTGACGTTCGTACCCCCATTTGAACATATCTAGATCGTTTAAAGTTTGGTTAAATCCGGGGCCATGCGTTTTTGAGGCAAATATAATGTAGAAAAAGATAGCGATCGCAATAATAGCTCATCACTCGAGCATTTTGCTCAGGTGAGCTAAAAAGAAATATACCGATATAATCTTAATAATCTGATATACTTACATGAAGAAGATAACGACCACGGCTACCATGAGATACACGGTGGTCAAGGGTGTCGATTTGTATCCGTGGTTGGGGGGGATGATAGGTGCCAAAATATTTTCGGCAATGGATCAAAGCAATCAAGAGGTAGAAGCGTGTGGCAAGTTGCACCCCTCCCAAGCGCGTAGCCAGGATTTCATTTTAGGGGGCGGTAGCGAGCACGCGAAGCGCGGTCCCTAGGGGGTTGCGTGCAGGGAGGGGGAGTTCCCCCCCCCCCTGGAAGTGCGGAAGCTTTGACGTTTCACTAAATTCGTCCTTGTTTTCACGAAGTGACGGTAGTGAGGAAAATCGTAACGCAAAGTGAATGCAATTTTTTTTCACTACCGTCACTTCGTGAAAACAGCGACAAATTATTAGAGAAAGAAGACGATTCGTTGGACCGTTCTCGACTCTTAATCCTTGTTTGAATCAAGTTCCCCTTCCTCTGCGCGTAGCGCGGAAGCTCTGGCGTTTCATTAGATTATTAAAGACAGAAGACGATTCGATGTACCATTCTCGTCTCTTAATCCTTGTCTGAATTCATTTTCGCCCATTCCTGCGCGAAGCGCGGAAGCTTTCACATTAGAGAAAAAAGACGATTTGTTGTATCGTGTCCTTTATGAATTCAGTTTCTCCCCTACCGCGCGAAACGCGGAAGCTTTGACGTTTCACTAAATTATAAGAGAAAGAAGACGATTCGTTGGACCGTTCTCGACTCTAAATCCTTGTTTGATTCAAGTTCCCCTTCCTCCGCGCAAAGCGCAGAAGCTCTGACGTTTCATCGACAGATTATTAAAGAAAGATGACGATTCGATGTACCATTCTCGAATCTTAATCCTTAATGTTTAAACATATTCCCCCTTCCCCGCGCGTAGCGCGGAAGCTCTGGTGTTTCATTAGATGATTAAAGAAAGAAGACGATCCTGTGTACCATTCTCGTCTCTTAATCCTTGTCTGAATTCACTTTCGCCCATCCATGCACGAAGCGCGGAAGCTTTCACATTAGTGAAAGAAAATGATTTGTTGTATCGTGTCCTTCATGAACTCAGTTTCTCCCCTACCGCGCGAAGCGCGGAAGCTTTAACGTTTCAATAAAATATTACTCTTAATCCTTGTCTGTATTCATTTTCGCCCATTCCGCGGAAGCTTTTACGTTTCATTAAATTATTCGTAAAAGAAGACGCTTCGTTGTATCGTGTACTTGATTGAACAAATTGAATAAATACATCAATTCCTGATGAAGCCGTATGAGCGAGAATTCAATTTATTCTTGTCTCATATACGGTTGTCTTATTTACTTCGTATATACATGTATGTATGTATTATGAAAATGAGATAGCAAAATGTGTATATTGATGGTCATCTTGCGAGTAATAACCATTAACTACTCTCATCAGGCTCTCATCCTTAATTTTTCTCTTCATTTTTTTTTTTTTTTGATGGTGAATTATTGGGGGGGATGATTGTACAGGCCATCCCCCCCACCTGAAATATTGGGGGGGATATATCCCCCCCATCCCCCCCGGGATCGACACCCATGACGGTGGTCATCGAGAATAGACCGCTTATCATTCCTAGAACGGCCATGATGTTGCGTCCGACGTTAGTTCGGTATTCGACTATAATTTCTTCACAAAATACTACTATTTAATAGCGAACTTCGATCGAACCTCTATCTGAATTTATCTTGTATGATATGAATTCAACACTCGCACGTATATATTACGTGAACGCGTTTTCCTATTGACTCTAATACGATGTAATCGTTTTGTGTTTTGTACACCTTCCGGCCCTGGTCATGGACTGCTTAAGTTTGTTAAAATATTTATCCATGCACGGAGGTCATTGTGTAATTGGAAGAAAAAAACTCTGGCAGAATCTGGCGAGAGATCTGACCTTAGATCTTTTTCACAATGCAAGGTGTTTGTGTTGCCCGGAGCGGTGTGCTACATACCTGGTGACTCACTGTTAGTAGGTCATGGGCTAGATTGATGCTGTACAAACTTTTTCAAAGGTGTCATAAATATTTGATGACTTGAAGGACTTTGTTAAACCCAGGGAGGTCCCTGGTCCAATCCAAGAGTGAACGAATCAGTTATATTACATGTATAAGAATGCATTTTTCAAAGCTATGGAAAGTCCTTTTCATTACACATACATGTTAGGTTCACAAAACCTTGATATCTGACATGTTTTAGACACATACAGGTATCTTCATGGAAACAATGCACATGGTAATATAAAGTAGTTTGTATTATCAGAGGAACTGAAGATCTTGTATTGGAATGATTGAAAGCAGGGACAGGAAGAGCTCTCACTAACATTTACATGTTAACTTTAAATCTCTCATTCATCTTAAAAGGGAAGTCTACCCTGATACTAAGTTCGTTTAAATAGAAAAATGAGAGAAAAGGGTCTGAAAGTTTGAGCAAAATTTGATGAAAAAGAAGCAAGTTACGGTATACACTTGCTAGCTCCTTTTAGTTGGTAAGGACGGAATGGATTTGTTTCATACAAGGGTTATATAAAAACATATTTGCAACGATTATATCCAAGCCAGGTGAATGCAGGATTACAATTTAAGTTTTGTAGTGCAGGACAAATTGGAGGGGATTGACCGCACCTTCAAAAATTCATAACTTTCTTATATTTAATCGTTTTTTGCTAAAACTTTGACTGACCTGTTTCTCTTTTTTCTGCTTCTATGAAAACCAACTTATCATCAGGGTAGACTTCCCAATTAAAAGTCACAAGACCCCACAACAAGGTTTTGCATGGTGAATTAGAAATTTAGGAAGGAAACATTAATTGACAAAGGTAATACTTTGTTTTCTGCAATTAGAGATGGATATGGAAGATATCGACATGCCTTACATTGCATGTTTTTCACATGCTTAGAAAGTAACACAGCATGAAAATATGATGGAAGAGATGTGACAAACAAGGAAAGAATTAATTGTTTAAAAATAAGATATTGTCCCTGTTTAATGAAAATTAAACAATTCGTGTACATTTTCTGTACTGCATTAAATTCTGTCCACAATGTTCGAGAGAAAATGAAAATTCAGTGAAGAAAAGGCAATAATCGGCATATATGTTCGTGTGTGTGCGTGTGTATGAGGGTGTGTGTTGAGGGAGGGGTAAGTTGGGTCACAGATCAACCGATGGTTCAAATCAAGTATTGATAGTTTATAACAGAGCAACCGCAATTTATGCGTAATGTGCACATTCCTAAAAAAAACAATTTTCACGAGTTTTTCAAAGTGCTCACTCGAGCATAAAATATTGTCAATACTCTTAGTCAGTGGCGGATCTAGAGGGGGGGGGGGGGGGGGTCCCGGGCTCCCATCCCTGGGGGGGAAAAAACGTGTAAAAACACGTGAATTTTACCTTTTTTTGGGACATGCGCCCCCCTCCCCTGGCGCTCAAGGGGGGGGGGGTGCGATTTTTCAAATTTTCGAGGGCAAAAAGAAAAATTGGTGCTCACTACCCCCCCCCCCCCCACCCCACTGAGCGAATTATCGGTCGGCTAAAAAAATCTTAGGAAATGCCCCCCCCCCCCCCCCTCCCCTGCCGCCGGCTGAATCCGCCCCTGATTTCACCAATAATTTTATAAGAACAAATCATGAATGTGTGAAATTAAGACTTTGGAGAATAATATTAGTCCGGGAGGGGGGGGGGGGGGGGGGTTGCCCCTCAGGCCTCGTAACCCCTACCCATTTTTAAGGGTCATTTTGGCAGAAAAAGGTACCCCTTTTCAGTGATGTTTTTTTAAAAACGGGACCCGTGTTGAGGGATTTTTTGTGAAAAATCGACTCAATATGTGAGTACGTACCCCCCCCCCCCCCTTTCGGATTTTCAGAGTGTCCTTTTTTTATACTCTGACGACCCATGCACATAGTGGTAGCTTTAAAAAGGTTTAGTTGTAAATTTAGATACATTTTTATAAAAAAATAAGCAAAAGCAACTCCAAAAAGCTATTCTCTAGATAAATTTAATTCAATTATCATAAAATATTTAAAAACATTCGAGTGACTCCCCCGGGAGAAGACGAAGCAAATATGACATGGGGAGCGTTTCACAAAACTTGTCATCAGTAACAAATGACATTTTTTGTTATAAGCTACTGAAATCCTTGCTTTTGATTGGATGTCATCAGATTTGTCACTGATTTTTGTCATTTGCCATTGAAACAAGGCTTTGTGAAACGGTCCCAGATGATCGCACGTGGATCTTGGATTCTATTCGAGCGATGGGCGTGGCAGATGAGGGCGTGGCGGGGGCTTGTCGTTGTTTTCTTAAATGTAGAAAAAAATGTAGATAGACTCTAAACTGTAGTGAAAGAAATATGGTACATTTAACTGTTTTGAAAGCTAGGAATCGACGGAGAAATCATGTCATTATCCAGTGTTATAAATAACTCAAACAGAATCTAGATCTATTTGCTAGATCTATTTTTAAAAAAATCAGTCCAGGCTTTAAGGGACTTATTCTTCTGAAGAATATGTATTAATCACATCATTTTACAAGATCGAATGGGTAATATAAAGGATGCCACTCAACGGAAGCCAAACAACATGCATGGTATAGACATGCATTGTATTGTATTTTATTAAACTTCATTGATGTACATCAATATTCTGTTTATGAACATAAATCGATTTGCAATGCAATTTAACAAATTAATATTCTGTTTGTAAACTTTTATTTCATTCATATTCATTTATTTATTTAAAGGTAATACAAAGTTTTGGTATGGGGTCATGAATTTGGTTCAAATGAACATATTGGAAGCATATGCGATCCTACAATATTCAGTGATCGTTGTCGCGGTTGAAATCGAGTTTAAAGTTATGAAATTGTAAATAATACACTCTTTTTGTTGTATAGCTCCCTCTCAAGGTCAAGATATTAGTAAAGCTATAAAACAATGTTTCTTGACTAAAATCGACCAATTTGCTATTCTTGTTTGGAAGTTATATATTACATCTACATATTCTGAGATTTTCATGGTCGCAGCTACCA